CATTTACAACCTAAACATGGTTACATGTCAGTTATGTCTCAACAAAGCTGAGAAAAAGAGCAATTAAAAAGTCAGCATTAATTGACTAGACCATACTACTTCCCATCACAGTAGTGAGCTAGATTTTTAAAAAATGTTTTCCAAAAGAGGGCATTTTTGATTCCTTAAATAACTCCATGGGGCTACCTCTCAGACCACTCATGCTGCACACAAATCAGGATGGGAAACTGCTTTATGAGACAAAGATCCCATAGCTCTCTCCCATCTCCACCTCTTCTCTCTATATAGAAAAGAGTAACTACAAACCGGTGTCTTGAATATTATTGTGTTTCTTCCAGTTCCCATAGTTTAACTCCTTTATTTGACAGCAAGAAAATTTTCTTCTCTTCTTCTTCTTCTTCTTCTTCTTCTTCTTCTTCTTCTTCTTCTTCTTCTTCTTCTTCTTCTTCTTCTTCTTCTTCTCTTTTTTAATGTAGGAGTACTGCTATTTATTCAGCCATTGATTAAGCTGATTGAATTGGGCATGGACTCCACATTCCTTTTTTCTTCAGAATGTTAATTTTATTATTATTATTATTATTTAATCACCTGATACAGTTACAAAGCTTTCCCGTTTGAGTTTTAGTGATACAATGATCAATCACCCAACCCTCCACCAGTGCACATCTTCCACCACCAAGAACCCCAGTATCCTCCCATCCCACCCCTCCCCCTGCCTTTATGGCAGACAATCTCCCCCATATTCTCTTTTGTATTGCTTGTTATGAATAGTATGTAGCGCTGCATTGCAGCACTGTCCTCCAGTTGTTCATCAATTTGCTCGAGCAGGCAGCAGTAACGACTCCATTGTGAGACTTATTGTTACTGTTTTTGGTATATCAAACATACCAGGGAGAGCTTGCCATGCTCTGCATTCGGCTGGAATATTCTCAGTAGCTTGCTGGGCTCTCTGAGAGGGACGGAGGAATTGAACCTGGGTTAGCCACATGCAAGGCAAACACCCTACCTACTCTCATAGCCAATACTGAGTCATATTGTCTGCTTTCCATCTTCCTTACCCACAAAAATACCCTAAGGTCCCATTTAGATTTGGACACTCTGCCCCAGGAGACTCTCTTCACCTTTGTCTGTTCCAAACACACTTGGGACAGGCTGAACCACTCTCAGAAGTAAAGTAAAGTAAAGGCCCTCCCGTTGATCATCGATTTGCTCGAGCGGGCCCAGTAACGTCTCCATTGGAGACTTTATTACTGTGTTTGGCATAGCGAATACGTCACAGGGAGCTTGCCAGGCCCTGCCGTGCGGGCGAGATACTCTCGGTAGCTTGCCGGGCTCTCCGAGAGGGGCGGAGGAATCGAACTCGGGTCGGCCATGTTGGCTGCGTACAACGCAAACGCCCTACCACTGTGCTATCACTCCAGTCTGACTCCACTCTCAGAAGATGCCCTCAATTACTCTAGCGCCACCTACCTGTACTTTGCTGTCCTGCTCCATAAATGTTAGTTGGCTCTAGTTTTTCATAATATTCCCCCACTTTCATCCCTAGCATGGAAGCTCATTTTACGTTTCCTGATGGGAAAGTTAATTGTATTTTTAGGAAGTAAAGGGAAGGACAAGAGAAAGAAAATGAATAAAGTGTGTATATTTTTATGCCATAGTTCTAAAACTTTTTTTAACATATTGAACGAATCAACTCAAATCTGAATTTAGAGATCAAATATTCTTTATCAGATCAAAATAATGTCACTGTATGGTGTGACTACATGTATTTTATGTATGTTATAAGAAAATATCTAAAAAACTTTAAGAAAATGGATAAAATATTTTTAAGATTTAGTCCTTTGATCAGGCTGGAGCGATAGCACACCGGGTAAAGCATTTGCCTTGCATGTGGTCGACTGGGTTTGATTCTTCCGCCCCTCTCGGAGAACCCGGCAAGATACTGAGAGTATCTCACCCACACGGCAAAGCCTAGCAAGCTACGGATGACATATTTGATATTCCAAAAACAGTAACAACAAGTCTCACAATTTGTGGAGACGTCACTGGTGCCTGCTTGAGCAAATCAATGAACAATGAGAGGACAGTGCTACAGTGCTACAATCCTTTGATCGTATTCTATGTTTATTTCTCTGGCGATTTCTCAAAAATTAAAAAAATTGAACTACTTATGTTCTAGCAATTTCACTCCTAGCTGGATAGCAAAAGAACACAAAAATAATAACTCAAAAAGATTTATGTACATCAATATCCATTGCGGTGCTCTTTACAGTTGCCAATATATTAAAACAAAGCTAAAGGATGAATGAGTTAGAACTCAGTGAATAAAGATCTTGTGTGTGTGTGTGTGTGTGTGTGTGTGTGTGTGTGTGTGTGTGGTAGTGTGTGGTATTATCCATATACATTAGACTACCATTCAGCTATGATAAAATACAAAAGTTCACCTTTTGTAAGAATGTGAATAAAAATCGAGGGTGTCATGCTAAACAAACAAACAAAAGTCAAAGGGGGAAAATACTACATGATCTCATTCATCTGTAGTCTATAAAGAAGCAAGGGAAGAGACTAGGTCAAATTAAAATAAACCCTTGAATTCTGAATAAAGAATTGAGCTTAGAAATTTGGATGAGGGTGAAGGTTGATTGGGCATAAGGGTTGATGGAGTGTGAGGGTTGATTGAGCCAAACAGCTGACAGGGTGGATGTTGGTTCGTTGTTAGTAGTCACGGTATAATAACATACATTTTAAAGAGCTGTGACATAGTACCCTCAAGCAAATGTCTTATGAACAAATATCATCTCAATTAGAAAAATATTGACCAAAAACTTTGGGAAGAAATTCAAAGTAAAAGTGAGGAGGGAATATTTTTTAATGTGCAGAATTAACACAATATTACTTTTAAATTTTCTTATTTATTTTTAAGAACATTAGACTACTTTCTGTTTGTGTGTTAGCTCTCAATCTGCCTAATAGGTAAGTGTTCCCTAATAAGAATAACAGCAGTATTATTTCCAAGACTTTGCACTGACCTTCATTTATTTGCCTACATCCATTTCTGAACTTAAGAGCCGTGTTCTATTTCTTTAAGGGACACTTAGAAGAAAACATGTTGCTGAAACATCTGCAACTACTGTCATTTGCTCATCATGACGATGGCTAATGTAATGAACCACTTAAAAGCACAATTTGCCATATGGATGCTATAGCAGTTATTTGCCTTGTCGCTAAACATAGCAACATGTTAGATGGATATAACAGCTTTGCATTGGCATGAAGGACTAGCAGATTGGCCAAGAACTACTAAACAGGTGTTCTCTATAATGGCAACTGAAGATTTACAATCATCTATGTTTTATTCTCACAGTTTTGAATATAAATATAAAATGAATATATGAATATGCATACTTGAATAGACAGATACACCACTACTATACATACCAAGTACACTAGTTGGTGTACATATATATTTAGTGTATTTAATGTACATATATTTTAATGTAGCACTATAGCACTGTCGTCCCATTGTTCATCGATTCGCTCAAGCAGGCACCAGTAATGTCTCCATTGTGAGACTTGTTACTGTTCTTTGGCATAACGAATACACCACGGGAGCTTGCCAGTCTCTGGCGTGGGTTCAGGATACTCTCGGTAGCTTGCTGGGCTCTCCAAGAGGAACGGAGGAATCAAACCTGGGTCGGCCATGTGCAAGGCAAATGCCCTACTCGCTGTGCTCTCGCTCCAGCCCATTTAATGTAAAAAGACCGATATAGATATATACATATATATACATATATATATCCTGATCTGATATGGATAGAATACTAAAGCTATATAATGCAGTGCTTTAAAAACATTCTGGTACCACGAAGTATATCTATTTTGTACTTTTGAATCTGTTTTCATGGAACTGTCCTTGGTCAGGGACATTTCATATATCATCTATATAATTAGAATAACTTCTTCTGATTCTAAACTTCTGCCACCTAATCATTCATCCTCTGTTTCCTGCTGGCTCACCACATTCATATAGTCAAGAATCTGTAATGGTTTCCTCTTGTTTATGCAATAAATTTCAAATGCCTTCATAGCATTTGAACAGCCTGTAGGGTTCTTGCTTTGTACCCAGTCAACCCAAGTTCAATCCTTGGCATGACATATGGTCCCCAGATGTGCTTCAGGAATGATCACCAAGCACAGAATTAGGAGTAAGGCCCAAGCACCTCAAGGTGTAGCTCCTATGAGAAACAAAAAATAAATAAAAATAATAAAGTCCAGGTAAATCACTTGACAAGAAATAGAAAAAACATCAAAAGTGGAAAATTTGTGGTTTTCAGGGGTGCAAGCTCTAAGGTGTAGGAACTTCAACAACAAAAAAGTATGGGATCTGCAAAGAAGTACAACTCGCACATAGGGGGGCCAGTGTGTAATATAATAGAAACTCCAAAACGGGGCTGATATCTTAGACTTAACTAAAATCAAACTTTATTAGAGTCACCGGAAATGATCTACATTAAAAAAAAAAACTGGAACCAAAACGGAGTAAGCAATATATAGTAGCCAGCATTAGCGTCCAAAATTTTATTTGAGAGCACAAATTTTTTATTTGCAAACTAGATTATTTTACATTCATCTGTTATTCCAGATTTATTGTAAGCAACTGTATACATATACCCTTTCCAAAACAATCTTTTATCACAATTCATTTTCATTGGTTTTGGTGTTGGGGGAGGGGGCACACCTGGCTATTCTCAGGGCTTGCTTATGACTCTGTGCTCAGGAATTACTCCTAGTAGATATGTGGGCCTGGGATCTAGCTTAAGTTGGCCCCATGAGACCTAACTTAGGTTGTCCCCATGCAAGGCAAATGTATTACCTACCTGCTGAAACCTATCTCAAGCCTCTGAAAACGTTTTTTAACTAATAATTAGAAATGTTGAATTATTTCAGAAAAATTTAGTTAAGTAGCAGAATAACTCTTATATGTTCGTCTTTTTTTTTAGGTCCTCCAGTCAATGTCACATGCAACATATTTATAAACAGCTTTGGTTCCATCGCTGAGACAACCATGGTAGGTATTATTTTATTTGTAACAACTTTGATGACGGAATAACTTATAGCCATGTTGCATCAATGACATTTTCTGTTAATATAGTTCAAAACAAAGCAAAAAAATAATATAAGGATAATTTAAATAATAGAATTAATTATATAATTAAACTGTTATCATGGTACTTAATAATGTTTCATTTGAACTGGTGTATTAGAATTGAAATGACGTGATGGATTTTGAATTTTTTTGTGTGGGTGGGAACTTTGGTGTTGGGATTGAACACTCAACCTCTTGAATTGAAGACAAGCTTTGCCATGAATTTACCTCCCTAGACAGTCGTGATGGTTTTTAAATTTCTAGAATTACAATTGCACTCAATCTCTTTTATTTTTAAAATTTTTATTAATTTTAATATAACTGGTTTTGTGGATTTTTCCCTACATTAAATATCCATTACATATGACGTTATTTAATTTAATATTAAATGGCTATTTAATTTAATCTTAAAAAGCCATTTAATAACCATTTATGATTTAAATATATAATAATAAATATTTCATTATTATTTCATTAAAAATTAAACTTTTCATGAAATAATAAAAATACAATACTAGAATTAAAATTGATTATATAACAAATTAAATATTAAATAAATAGGTATATTGATTGCAATATCAAAATCAGTAGGTATAAAAAATTCAATGTATGTGAAAATTGTTGTATCTGATCACAGGGATTTTAAGTCCCTGTCTAAAACTTCATTAAAATGTTTGTTGCTTTAGGAGGTCCAAAGATTTCAGGTTCTGTGGACTGGGCCAATGAGTGGACTTGCTGGTGGCTGTAGGGAGGTGGGCTTTCAGAAGTCTGGAGGAATGGGGGAAGGCTGCCCACTGCCACTGTAGAAAAACCATCAAAGTTGTCAACTTGGACACTGGGTACCTGAAATTATTTGCAATTTTCTAAGTAAAAACAATCTAATATACAAATGCTGCAGTGGTTAATAATGTGTATAGCTTTTAGCTCAATAGCAATAGATTTTATTCACTTTTTAAAGATGCTGTTTTCTGCTCTCACACAACATTTGGTCACATATGCTTTTGGTGTGATTCTATATAAATTCAAAATAATATAATAACAGTAAAAGCAACTGGGAAATAACTGAACTTACATATTTGGATACATTATAGACATAAGTAGGCAAGAAAAACTGACTGTGCATTTAGTCATTAAATAAAGAGAAAATGCATATAATTTTCTTGCATAAGCACAATATGATTTTGCTTTAGTTCTGACCTTAAGGTAATATTGTTGCAGACTTTGACAAATTTTGTGTTCTGGTTTAACAGCTGTTACTTATTATTTGTATTTACCCCAAATTAATCATATTTAACTCGAGCGGGCCCAGTAACGTCTCCATTGGAGACTTTGTTGTTACTGTGTCTGGCATATCGAATACTCTCAGTAACTTGCCGGGCTCTCCGATAGGGGCGGAGGAATCGAACTCGGGTTGGCCATGTTGGCCGCTTGTAAGGCGAACGCCCTACCACTGTGCTATCGAATCTCTGGTGACTTTTTCAACCTAACCTTCCTAAACTATTTCCAGTGCTGTCAACCTACTTATTATGTTACACTATGCATTGTATAATCCTGAAATACTGGGAAGATGTTTATACTTTCTGCTTCACAGATAATATTCTGAAAATACTTTTAACAAAAATATATGGATTTTTTTGTTTTACTTTTATACATAAGGGTGAAGAAAGTGACTGGGAAAAGAAAAAACAATTAGATTTTCTTCTCATAAAAATCTGAAAATATCAGTTATTAAACGTCTGTTATTTTTTATGAAATAGAATCTATCACTAAATAGCTATAACGATTTTTAAGGTTACTATACCAGTTACACTGGTTATATTTAAGAGATTAAGGAAAAATTCCTTCATATTATAAAATAAGCTTACAGAATATTGACTATACAGTCTCACAATGACTCCACTCAATTTTATTTACCTCTAAGGTATCTTTTCCATTACTAATATTTTATAATCATGCATTCTCTTTGAAATGATCTTTTAGTATCTATTACTTTTCTCTTTCAAGTCACAAACGATATCAATCAGCATTAGTCAAGTCATATAAAATTAACTATATCCACAGTGGTACCTGTTTTTAGTTTGCTAAACTCTTAAATATGCCATTATCTCTATTCATGTAATCAAACTAAATATTTGTAAAAAGGTTTAATTTTATCATAGTAATTGCAATATAGAAGCTATCTACATAGGAATAGGCAAAATTAGAACTTGTTATTTATATTCTGCTATGATTCGTAAAATATTTTCTAATACGTGACTAAGATGATTATTTTATTCGCAGTACAAATAACCTACTGTAGTCAAGGAACTGTGTTTACACCGAGAGGAAAGAATTTTAAATACTTATAACCACAAATTAGTATTTGAGAATTCATTCTTAAATAAGTAACTAATCCTCCTGGTGATGTGCCTGCCTGACAAGGATCTTAATTCTGTTCAATGTTTTTATGACCAAATATATTAATCTCCCTCTGTTTGTCTAATTTACAGCTTAAGAGTCTCTATTTCAGAATACAGCTTTAAGTCCACTGGATCCAATCATTTCTCTCAGGAGAAAATCGTACTAGTATGTTCTGTATTTTAGCTATATTTTGAAAATCATGTAGATTTTAACATAGTTTTCCTCTTCTTGTGCCAAATTTCCTTTTTCATGTATGTTCATAAGCCATAGTATCATTCCAGATTGCTTTGGGGGTCGGAGGTAGTGCTTTAACCCTCTCTCATCCCTTCTAATGTGCTTCACCCCTTCCCCTCTTACTTCATTGCATTGGTTTATGATTCTTGTGTCGTGCTAAATAAAATAGGTGGGAAAAGGCCCCCTTTGGTTTTGATCCGGTATTAGTAGCAAACCAGCAATATTTTACAACTAAGCATGAATTGTAGGTTTCTTCTAAATGCTCCTTGTCAGGGGAAGGAAGTTTACTTAGACTGCATTTTCATCAGCTGAGATTTTGATTTTTTTCTTCTGTTTATTTTTTTAATTAATTTTTGCTTTTTGGGTCACACCCAGTGATGCTCAGAGGTTACTACTGGCTCTGCACTCAGGAATTACTCCTGGTGGTGCTCAGGGGACCATATGGGATGCTAGGATTCGAACCCGGGTCAGCTGCATGCAAGGCAAACACCCTACCCGCTGTGCTATTGCTCCAGCCCCAATTCTGTTTATTTTTTTAATTCTCAATTTCTGTCTATTTGGGAGTCTCCTAAGCAAATAGTGGTCTTGGGAATATTCAGTGCTGGATTTAATTTTATAATATTTAGCTTAGGATTTTCATTATTTTATTCATTTTGGATATCAGTGTATAATTTTATTTTCATTCAGTGTGAAAACAGTGCAGTATCACCATTAGTTACAAAATATCAGTAAGATGTTTGTTCTTCTGCTCTCTAAAATAGTTTTATAGGAGGGTCCCTTTCTCGCCACATCTGCGCCAGCACTGGTTGCTTTTGTTCTTGTGGATGTGGGCCAGTCTCTGTGGTGTGAAATGATATCTCATTGTGGTTTTGATCTGCATCTCTCTGATGATTAGTGATGTAGAGCATTTTCTCATGTGCCTTTTTGCCATTCGAATTTCTTCTTTGCGAAAGTTTCTGTTCATTTCCTCACCCCATTTTTTGATGGGGTTGGGTGATTTCTTCTTGTGGAGTTTAACCAGTACCTTGTATATCCTTGATATCAACCCCTTGTCGGATGTGTACTTGGTGAATATCCTTTCCCATTCTGTAGGCTGTCTTTGTATTTTGGTCAATGTTTCTTTTGAGGTGCAGAAGCTTCTTAGTTTAAGATAGTCCCATTTGTCTATCTCTGTTTTCACTTGCTAGGCCAGTGGCGTGACATCTTTGAAGATACCATTAGCTTCAATATCATGGAGAGTTTTGCCGACTTTGTCTTCAATAAACATTATGGATTCTGGTCTGATGTTGAGGTCATAAATCCATTTTGATCTTACTTTTGTGCATGGTGTTAGGCAGAAATCTGAGCCCACTTTTTTGCATGTAGCTGTCCAATTTTGCCAGCACAGTTTATTGAAGAGGCTTTCCCTGCTCCATTTCACTTTTCTTGCCCCCTTATCAAAAATTAGATGATTATATGTTTGGGAGGAAATGTCAGTATATTCAACTCTGTTCCATTGGTCTGCAGCTCTGCTTTTGTTCCAGTACCATGCTGTTTTAATTATTACTGCCTTGTAGTAGAGTTTGAAGTTAGGGAGGTTGATTCCTCCCATTTTCTTTTTCCCAAGAATTGCTTTAGCTATTCGTGGGGGCTTATTGTTCCATATTAATTTCAGGAGTGTTTGCTCCATTTCTTTGAAGAATGTCATGGGTATCCTTATAGGGATTGCATTGAATTTGTACAGTGCTTTGGGAAGTATTGCCATTTTGATGATGTTGATTCTCCCCATCCATGAACAGGGGATATTTTTCCATTTCCTCGTGTCCTCTTTTATTTCCTGAAGTAGCGTTTTGTAATTTTCTTTGTACAGGTCCTTTACTTCCTTAGTTAAGCTGATTCCTAGATACTTGATTTTCTGGGGCACAATTGTGAATGGGATTGTTTTCTTGATGTCACTTGCTTCTCTTTCACTATTTGTGTATAGGAATGCCATGGATTTTTGGGTATTGATTTTATAGCCTGCCACTTTACTATACAAGCCTATTGTTTCTAGGAGTTTCTTGGTAGAGGTTTTAGGGTTCTCTAAGTATAGCATCATGTCATCTGCGAATAGTGAGAGCTTAATTTCTTCTTTCCCTATCTGGATGCCCTTAATATCTTTTTCTTGCCTAATCGCTATTGCAAGAATGCCGGCTGGTCCAACCCTTTTGGAAAACAGTATGGACGACTCTCAAAAAATTAGAATTTGATCTGCCATTTGACTCAGCTATAGCACTCCTGGGAATATATCCCAGAGAGGCAAAAAGGTA